GATACGCACATTCGTGATATTATCGTTGCAACTAAGGCCATTCCATGCTCAAACAGATGACAATAAGGCGTGACATTAAAATAGACTCGAAAATCAATTATCAACAGAACGGCTATGCGGCAAACAAACAATTTCAATACCAACCTCGTCACAGGCAACTTAACCGTCATTGAAGGTGATTCGGTACCTTATGAGGACTTTTCCCAAGACTATATATTTTTCTCAGTCTGCCTATTGACAGATATAGCTTCCCATTTCTTGTCATCGTTCACAAAGGTATTGTTGCCATGCGGTTGCTGCATATTGTATGTTACCTCGTCTCCACCTTACTATTCAGACGGGAGCTTACGTCATTATCCACAAACGCCATGCCACCTTCTTGTATGTTTCCAGACATCGATACTGTCAGGAATACATGACACATTTTTATGGATGCAATTTCTTTTGTTTTTTAAACAAAGAGTAAAAAAAAGTTGCTATCTATGAAAAAAAGGTGTCATGTATTCATGTTCTCCCAACTTCTAAATGCCTATCAGAGACTTGATACGGTCCTGGTAACGTGACTAAGATTCAGAATATATAGAAATAGTTAAAACCAGAATCAACTCATTATCTTAAAATTATCTCAAAATGGATTCTTGCTTACGCTTGCATTATGTACTCGTACTGTAGGAAACGGGTCGTATCACATACCTTTTCTTGGTCGCAGATTCGGTCCATTGTTTAGACAGCACCAGAACTGTTCACGCACCTTCCACCACATTCGTTACGTCTTGAGTGAGTGAGTGAGTTGGGTTTAACGCCGCTTTTAACAATATTCCAGTTATATCGCGGCGTGTCAGCTTAATGTGGGAGGAAAGCCCGAAGTGATGCAGGTCTCAGACGTTTACCACTTCGGTGAAACGTTAACCCACGAGCACGGGTATGGTGCTGACAAACCTAGAAACATAATCGGGGAGAACCGGGATTCGAACCCACAATCATAGGTTTCTGGCGTGCCCAAGGGACGCAACTCTGCACAGCGAATCGCCACCCGTGCCCCCGCGTTACGTCTTGAGTGTACATCAGTGAGCGGGTATGTGTGGGGTTGGGGTTGGGGTTGGGGTTGGGGGTCGGGGGATGATGATATTTTTGTTTAGAGACGAGATATTTTTCGGCTACATCTTACATCTACAAAACCAGATACATGTATTTGTTTCATTAAAACTATGAGCCAAAGTATCTTTTTTTAAAACAACAACCACATTGCATCAATGTATTGCTTGTAACAGCCAATGTAATCCGAAGAAAAACAAACTGTTTCAAGCAATTCCTTAAACTATTTGTTTTTGATAAAATCATTTAGTCGGTTTTCATGCCGGTTTTTGTCGAAGTTCCCCATTAGTTCCTATTTTCTTCGAGATACAAACGTTTATTGCGAATATATCTGACACTCAATAAGTTCCTATTTTCTTCGAGATACACACGTATATTGTAAATATATCTGACACTCAATTAGTTCCTATTTTCTTCGAGATACACACGTTTATTGCAAATATATCTGACATACAATTAGTTCCTATTTTCTTCGAGATACACACGTATATTGTAAATCTATCTGACATACAATTAGTTCCTATTTTCTTCGAGATACACACGTATATTGTAAATATATCTAACACAATAAGTTCCTATTTTCTTCGAGATACACACGGATATTGTAAATATATCTGACACTCAATTAGTTCCTATTTTCTTCGAGATACACACGTTTATTGCAAATATATCTGACACTCAATCAGTTCCTATTTTCTTCGAGATACACACGTATATTGTAAATATATCTGACATACAATTAGTTCCTATTTTCTTCGAGATACACACGTTTATTGTAAATATATCTGACACACAATAAGTTCCTATTTTCTTCGAGATACACACGTATATTGTAAATATATCTGACACTCAATTAGTTCCTATTTTCTTCGAGATACACACGTATATTGCAAATATATCTGACACACAATAAGTTTCTATTTTCTTCAAGTCTTTGTCGAGCTCCTCCTTTCATTCCTATAAATTCGAGATAACGCGAGTCTATCTGAGTAGTAAAAGTCAGTAAATGAGATAAATACTGTAAGAAATATAAGCTGAACGTTATGGTCAATTTCAAGTCTGTAAGTGACATAGCTGCAAACAAAAGAACATGCGTTTTCGAGATAAACAGTGTGAAACAATATATACATATTTGAGTTATTTTGAAATGAGGACATCCGATCATTAATCACTCGCGTCACGTATCATCATAATTGTTGACTGTCTTGATTCAGGGGGCACGAGTGGCCCCGTCGTCTTAGGCGCCGCGATTCGCTATGTAGAGTTGCCTCCCTTGGGCAGGACAGAAACATATAATTGTGGGTTCGAATAGCGGTTCGCCCCGATTATGTTTCTAGGTTTGTCAGCCCAATGCCCGTGCTCGTGGGTTTCATCGAAGTGGTAAACGTCTGAGACCTGCATCATTTCGGGATTTCCTCCCACATTAAGCTGACACGCGCGATATGACTGGAATACTGTTAAAAGCGGCGTTAAACCCAACTCACTCACTCACTGACCTGATTCATGGAACATGATTGACTTGCAACAAAAAAATGCGAATCGCAGTAAATGACCGGAATATGCGAACATGAATAAATTGGGAATCAGTAAATGACCACACACGATTAATCAATACATAATATACTGAGTCAAATTAAAAACTTCACATTTTTAAAAGTAATCCCATACATGATATACGGACATGTATCAGAGAAGGTAATTTTTAATCATTAATGTACAAAGAAGGATTTTTATTAACGGTGGCAACCATAATTCGTTCCAAGCACCTACGGTGTTCGGTAATAACATCAACAGTTTAAATCATAAGTCCCAAGCACGAGAATCTGATGGCACACAAGTTCAGTAGCGTGTATGGCCACCATGTGCGTTGACAACTGCCACACAACGCCTCTGCATGGACCTTGTGATGCTTGTGAACACATGATTGGGAAGACGACGCCATTGTTGATGCAAAATGGTGCCAAGATCTTGCAAATTCTGTGGTTGGTTCTGGAGAGTGCGCAGACTTCTGCCAAGAGCATCCCAGACGTGTTCGATGGGATTGGGGTCGGGAGACTTTGACGGCCAGTCCATGACGTTGACTCCCGCATTCTGAAGAAAATTCCTTGTCACAATTGCTGTGTGGGGCCTGGCATTGTCGTGTTGGAAGATCAAACCGGGTCCATGTGCTGCCATAAAAGGCAGAAGTTCTGGTTCCAGTACCTGGTCGCGGTAAGCAGCAGCGTTGAGGTTGCCACGGATGACAAGAAGCCTGGAACGTGCATTGCCACAGAAAGCACCCAAAACCATGACACTTCCGCCTCGAAATCTGTCAACTTCCTGTACACAACACTGGGCGTAACGTTCATGACGGTGCCTCCACACCCTCGCCCTACCATCAGCAAATCGAAGATTAAATCGGGATTCATCACTGAAGACGACTTGATTCCAATTCTTCTGAGTCCATCGTAAGTGTCGCTGTGCCCACAATTGACGTTGACGTCTGTGTAATTGAGTCAGAATCGGCCCGCACTATGGCCGTCGTGCTTGAAGGTGAGCAGTTCTCAGACGGTTTCGAACAGTTTGCGCACCCAGTCTACCCCTAAACAGTTCATTTCTGGTTGATGTAGCCGTCACAAATCGGTTACGGAGGTGACGTAAGACAATCTGACGATCCTCTGCATGTGACGTCACACGTGGTCGACCTGGCCGAGGGCGATCAGCGGTGGTACCCGTTTGCTGTAGACACGTCTGTAAATCATAAACAGTCCGTCGACTACAACCCATCGCCCTTGCGACTTCAGCTACGGACGTTCCCGTCTGCAACATGCCGATGGTACGTTCACGTTGCACATTTGGCGTGGCATGACAAATGGCCGTAAAGACTTTTGTTTTCTTGTGTTTTTCTTTTTTTTGTTAATGACTGCAAACAAGTATGGCTGAAAACACGTGCGGTATTATGGCCACGTGACCAATTGCACGTGAAAAACCACTTTTGCCACTACAGTGCTGTGCACATGAATTTGATCGATTCACCTGCACAAAAACGGGTGTTATCTGAAGACAATACGTGGCCATTATGTTTAAATACACAATAATGGCCCACAATGATAACTGGTCAAAATGTTAAAATTTTAGGATTGTGAAGTTTTTAATTTGGTTCAGTATATTTAATCACACAGTCTTAGGTTTACAATTAATATAACATTAACACAGGGTCAAATAGGTGGCAGCAAGCATGTGTTACAGGTTTTGGAATTATCGGGTGACGAATATTGTCACTGTTGAATGACTTGAAACAGGCCTTTCTCCGCTTTTGGGATCCAGTTTTTATTAGTGTTGGACTCTGGCAGGAGTTCGGCGTTTCCGCTCGGATATACAACTGCACTTAGCAAGTAGATTAGAAACACCCGAATCGCAAGCTTGTCAAATTTATATACGTACAGCTAAGCTTCTAGAAACTGTCCCATCCAGAAATTTTATGAACGATCAAGTCTGCCATGTTTGTCAAACAACGAGGGGAGGTAACTCTAAATTCTACTCACCCGCTAACATCGTAAGCACTCGAAATGTTATCAGCGCTCGTATTACTGTTCACCACAAAGGCTGATTTTCTTGTTCTGGAAGATAACCATTCTGGAAAGCTCCAATCGCTGCTATTGATCTGTTCAAATCTGACCACGGCAGACTTGATACTAATATTTTTCTTCAAATGGTTCAATCATTTGCTGCAATTGATATTTACTACAAATATATTTACAACAGTTTCTACTGCCATTAAAATTACTTACACAGAACACAGCAACCAAAAGAATATTGGACCTACCTCACGCGGTCTCTCTGTACGGTGCAACCTTAACAGCATACCTTTAGTCCCGCTGACTAGTCCAAAACATTATTTTTCTCTGACTTGTGTATTCTTGCAGACACCACCACCTGCCATATTCCATCGGCCGTTGTCAATGGAAGGATCGTTTCAATAGACGGGCAGGCTGAAGGTTCTAAAGCTGAGATTACCTGTAACGACTTCAACTTTCCGACTGTGGAACACCTCCAATGTGGATCTTCAGGAACATGGGAGGGGACAGAGTCAGCATGTGCACCTACAGTAAGTGAGCGAGTCCGGCAAATGTAATGCCGTTCTGAACAATATTTCAGTTACATCACGACATGTCAGCTTTATGTGGGAGCAATGCACCGAAGTGACGCAGACGTTCATCACTGCGGTGAAACCACGAGGTCTATTGCTGACAAATAGGACCTAGAAACATAATCAGGGCAAATTTGCGATCCGACCCCATGAGCATAGGATTATGGCACGCAATCGGGACCACAAATCTACGCAGTGGATAACAGCGCTTTAGCAATTGGGCCACCCGTTCCCCAATTAGTGCAGCCTAATGACCGACTAAGTGAATGAACGTGTTAAGTCGCAGTCTTCAATAATCCAGCTTTGTCACATCGGCCGGTAAAAGGTTCAATCTGGGCCAGGTAGACCGGTGGCTGATGGCATGAGCAACGATCCGTGAATGCGGGTACTATGACGCACAATCACCCACATCACACATTGTGACCACGTGGTCTAATTATAAGTTTATGTTGGGTCCATTCTGACCTAGAATCCTCGGAGTCCTGAGCCATGCACCAAAGTTATAGGGCACCTCCTACATGTGTGCAATGTTGAATAATAAGCTAAATTTGTAAGAAAGTTCAGTGTATGAATATGTACATAAGGGCTGGGACGGGTAACTCGGGTATCCGGGTCGGGTGGTCACTGAGTAGGACCCGGGTACCCACAAGACTACCCGGACCCGTGGTTAGTCACGTGATATATTGTTTAATGACACAAATTATCAAGAACTCTATGGTTACACTACAAGTCACTAATGTTCGCATTTCTTTCTGACTATGCACCCATTCCTTCTGATTTTTCATGTGGTTGAATAAAGATAAAACTTAATTTAACTTCAGTGTATGAATGACCAGATTGTTTAATACGTGTATCTAAATACGTTTTGCCAGGGCTATGCTACAAATGTTCCCAATCGGACATTTTGAGACATCACCTGAGACCTACAGTGGGTACCCGGGTAGGGTCGGGTAATAGGTGGGTGAGAACCCAGGTAGTACATTTGGACTCGTCCCAGAACTAATGTACATGTACATAGAGGTTATCAGTCGAGAGTGTTTGGGGATGGTAAATATCCTGTATTTGGAATAAACATTGTATTTAGCTCGCCAAGGCTCGCTAAATACATAGTGGTTATTCCCAATACAGGCTATATACCATCCCAAAACACACAAGCGTGATAACCTCTTTATCATATAATGTCATTCTTCAATTCTGTACTCGAAAATCTCTTCCCATCCCTCACAAACATTACCTAAACACTGCACTTTTCCTGGAATGTGCGCACAGATATATATGACGTAAGAGGGTAAGTGATGTGTCAGTCGGACAGTGACAGCAGCCAATATAGTTCAAACTGAAACCTGTTTCCTATACAGTGGCGAACTGCATATATGCAAAACAATCGCCAACACAAATTGTTTTTACTTGCCTTTCGCGGCAATCCATCGGTCTGTATATAGAGTAACTGCCCTTTATCAAAGGGAAGCTACTCTAACCATAGTCTATGTGACGTCACGGCCACAGTCAGGCGTTGAATGTCGGCCTGTCCTGTCATAACGTTACGAAGTGCACACAGCGACAATTCGAACATATTTCGGCCAAATCCAACTGTTTTCGTTCGTTCTCCATATGAAACAACTGTACCTTTTAAAAATTGTTTAGCCATGTCGAGACAGAATAGTACGCTCAAGTTCGCATCTTCTTAACGCTACATGACACAGAAATATCGAAGTTTGTGTGTTCTTCTTTATTTCCTATTTGATTGATGTCAACTCGTACGAATACCAAACGCAATCTCGATTGATATATGTCATGTCTATGCTTCACATCGAAACTAAACTGACGGGCAAAAGAAAGTATACACCCATGAATGACGGTAGGCAAAATTATAAAAATGATTATCCGACGATGATGTTTTTGATACGGGTATCGTAGTCGTGTTTTCGACATTAAGTCAGATGCGTTTTGTGTTTCGGCGACTCTTTTCAGCGTAGTAACGTTTTGATAGCGTTTGTAATTGTTGGTCAAATCCAGTTGTATGTTGTGGTACTTTCTTTTGCTCAGTAGTTTATTGGATGTTGTTGGGCGCATATTGACATACAAACACCGTGTATCTAGTCATCCAATGCAAACTGTGGAACTTGTTGCCCTCGACAACGACAACACTGAATCCGTTTGAAAGTGGCAACAAGAACTTTGTATGTAATTCGGTATTCGTCATTCGTCTTTCACGCTCCTGGTTGACAAACAACGAACTATGATTCGTTCAAATATCACTGCTGAATAATGAATTACTTATTTTTATGTTTTTCGACCTCCACATACCATTTCGACTGTCCTTTTCCCCTCAATATCGAAGAAAAAACTGATTTGTTTTTCATATGGATATCTATACCCAAAAGCACAGAAATCGAAACCATTTCGCATTCTAGCAATGTATCTTTTCTTCACAATCAACACTGCTCAATATTAAAACACAAAGTTCCTCGTCCTTGTCGTACCAACGGCAGACATAACGACAGACATAACGGCAGACATAAGTGGTGACATGACAAAAGGGATTTTGTAGAAAAAATATACCGACTACAATCTTTTTGTCACCGAAAAATCTTGCAAAACAATATGCTCCGTATTGTTGGAAAAATTAAACTGTCTGCCACAAAAACTGCATCGTTACAATGAGTTTTTTCAAAACAAATATTTTGGCTCATGGTTTTGAAAAAAACAAATATCTTCTTTCGCAGCTGTAGCTGAAGAAATATCTGGTCTCAATACAAAATCCCAGCTGGATTATTGTAAATCCTTCTCGCTCACGCACTCACTCACTTAACTATTTACTCATGTCCGCAAATAGATTGTAATTCACGCACTCTATGTTTGTAACAGGATACGGTTTCCGCAGCAGGGAAGCTGTCCAAGGGGTCGTGTGTCAGCCTCATAGGAAGACCTACAGAAAACACATCGTAAGAAACACTTGACTTGCCTTTGTATGTGTTTGTGACGGGTGCCACCGGTGGGGCAGGAAACACTTACCTTTTCACTAACATCTGGTACGGTATCATCACTACTTGATAGTGATTCATAAACAGATGATCAAGCTACAGCCGGAATAGTACAAATGGACTCTACATTTAGCAGAAACTTCTAATTGTTATCGGGGCGGTCGGGTAGTCTAGTGGTTAAAGCGTGGGCTCGTCACCCGGGTTCGATTCCCCACATGGGTATAATTTGTGAAGCCCATTTTCCGATGTTTCCAGTCGTGATATTGGTGAACTATTGCTAAAAGCGGCCTAAAAACCATACTAACTCACTCTAATAATTGTCCCCCGCCGCGCGAAAGCGCGAAGCGGGGAGTTATAGTATTCACGACCGTCCGTACGTACGTCCGTACGTCCGTCCGTACGTCCCACCTGTTTGTTGCCGCGATATCTCAAGAACTAAACACTGGATTGTCTTCATATTTGGAACTATTGTGTATATACAGACTCCGCAGACACCAGTCGGTTTTTGTGACCTTGACCCCATTTTCAAGGTCACAGCAGGCAATTCTGCTTTTGGAGTTGGAAAACGGTGTTGCCGCGATATCTCAAGAACTAAACACTGGATTGTCTTTATATTTGGAACTATGGTGTATATACAGACTCCGCAGACACCAGTCGGTTTTAGTGACCTTGACCCCATTTTCAAGGTCACAGCATGCAAATCTGCTTTTGGAGTTGGAAAACGGTGTTGCCGCGATATCTCAAGAACTAAACACTGGATTGTCTTCATATTTTGAACTATGGTGTATATGCAGGCGGGGGACATTTCGTCACTTTGTGACAAATACTTGTTATCGTCATGGTTTTGTTATTTTTATTTTCATATCTCGGTCACAAAAAATCAACATCAATAAAACAATAAACTCATTGTAGTGATAACGTCCTACCTGTCATTCAGATGATCTATATAGTACTACAATAAGAATTCGTTTAGTCGAAATCGAACGAACCATTGAGAATGTACCTGATGTGTCGATTTCCTCAAATATATTGATCTCAATTGTCCTCAATATCAATACAATTCTGGGGGACGATTCAATTACAGTACGGCAAACATACGGGTACCTGTCTGTTTGTGAATTATTCCCGAGGCGACGGTTAGGAATATCTTCCCTGACTTTCCCAGACCCCTACTCTCCCATATGCGACAAAACATTCTTTTGTGAAAAGATATTTGAAAAAATATATGAAGACCTCGTTGTCTTTCACTTACCAAATAAAGGCTTATCGTTCAACCTAGCTTTTTGAAGTTATGAACACAGTAAATACAATATTTTGATAGCGATTTCTCATAGGTATCATACAGGAATATATTTGACTCATGACACAGTGCCTCTGCGCGTTAAGATCTGAGGAGACCTCGAATAGAAATAATATATTCAGGGTATTGTCACCCATACTCGAAGAATCATGTCAGATAATAGATCCTACCACCCTCACTCTTCTCGCAATCGCATATAGTTACCGATCAAAATGGGAGGGGGTAGTGTGACTGACGTGGAGGATCTTCATTGCTTTTTACACTTTTGCACACATTTATTGTCTGATGATCCTCTTGTAAAGCATGTCAAGACTCATGATGAAATCAAGGCATTTCGTCAAGGAGCAAAGGATGGGTGACATATAACTCATGATCAGTGTCAATGTTGATTTTGTTGATGTTCTGTACTATTGGACGGTACAGAAATGAGTGTCAACCCAGCGAAGTGCCATTTCAAATCGGTCCAGACTCAGTTTATCAAGGAGAGGCCATCTGAACGACCACTGACGAATTTATATGCAGTGTGTTGAGAAGATCAGCAACCCTACAGAGTCCTTCGCTTGGATGAAGTCGGCTGGCCTGAAAAGTGAAACAGAATGCTTTCTGTTTGGTGCTCAGGACCAGTCACTTTCCACTCGAAACCGTCAGTGTGTGATTGTGCATCAAAATGTGAATAGATTAAGCAATGAATTTAATAAATACATTGTCAGTGGATGCCCAGCTCTGGCAGAAACACGGTATTGGAGTTTGTTTGATGATTTGAGGCTTCGGGCAGGTTGATGTCTCTGTGTTAAATCCATCAAATCAGTTCATTTAATTTGTGTCATGAAATAACAATGCCAGGAAATCAAAGCTCTGTGCAAGCATTATTCCTTTGATACTAATTTTCGTTTTAGATTCAGTTTCCGATTGCTGACAGGCACCAGCACCTACATGCTCATCAGCATTCGTTTCACGACACGGGGTATAAACGAGATCGTCAGATCCGAATTTATCAACAGCTATGGCGCCGAAGAGCGAGCCAAGGATCACTGGCCGTTTGTTGTCAACGAGGAGTTTAACATTACAATCTGTATGGAAGAAACACTTTACAGGGTAAGTCATATAGGGATGAGGTGAGATGAAATGGGGTTTAACGTTGCGTCCAAGATTATTGCACTTATATAGCGACGTGCATGCACGTGTGTGTGTGTGTGGCTGCTTGTACTAGTCCGGACTGATGCCGATTTATAGTGCTAGCCCACTGAGATACCATCCTGCAGATTAATATGAATACCCCACTCAGACACAGTGTACTGACTCCGAGCCGACCAGTCCTTGTTTTAGCCCCTTAATGCCGAGCGCCAGACAGGGTAACAACATGTACCATCTTTTAACGTCTTTTGGTATGACTTCGTTTTTCTGTCATTTCCCTAGTGTGATAACTCAAACATTGTTGAAAACAGCTTACACACAACCAACTAAATCAATGCGTCTGCAGAGAGACATGATTAATAACAAAACCATTTCGATTTTCCTACGAAATCTGCTTGTCAACTGGTCGATTCCGACTATATCATGAGCATGTGTTTATAATCACTGTAGTGATGACGCTTGGTTTCATGAAAAGATGAGCATATCCCGCCCCACCGGTGGCACCCGTTACAAACACACGCAACGGCAGGACAAGTTTTCACCTTGAAAAAAGTAGAGGAAATGTCTTCCACATGTCAAATCTTAAATTGTTTGAAAGCTTTACTGAGATATTGAATGTTGTAGCCTCATACAACTTTTGAGCAAGATTAATAGGACGCTCTTTGATATCTGCCTCGAAGGAGGATGCTTGATTGTAAATCAGAAGCTGTGAAATGTAGACACCAAAGGCTGGAGCTGCTGAATATATTGCTCGACATAAAAGTGAAGTTATTAGAAAGTTGAAGTCATCCCTCTTGTCATACAGTCTTGTGGGAAGTTTTTGTCACTATGCTGATGAAACAGACGAGGCGGTCTCACTAGTCTCTTTTTTCTGGTTCACGTGGATAAATAAGCATTGGAACAGACGGATGAAATCTGAACATATATTGTAATAATTTGAATATAGATGCATTTTCATTCTTTTAACTCGATATGCGCGATATATGTTATCCGTAGTTCGAGACAAGCGTGGTCACGAGATAAGGCCATTGTCTCGATAATTATGTTGTTGAGAACATAAAGTTACATTATCTTAATTAAGTTTGATTTAACGGAGTTCAGTGAAACTGCATGCATATTTCTTACAGGCTTTCGTCGATGGCGCGGACATATTCACATTTGTGTACCGTCAACCTACCATCGTTGTCAACGGAATAAGTTTCCTCGGAGATGTTGCTATGAGAAAAGTCGTCTTCATCTAGCACAGCAGGCTTGGGGAACGACCGTTTAATATTCTGCGTTGGGCGCTGGAATTTTCGTTCCAGACAATACTTTTTCAACACATTTTTATGGCTCTGGAAAGAGGAGCCTGCTAGGATGTTGTACCATTCTACTTTGTTGCTGTACCGCCCTACTTGGTTGCTTAATCACTATCCTTGCTTTCAGCAACATAATAATTGGTAGTAACATCAATATCGCCGGTTGTAATGATTAATTCTTGCATTTGGTTGTAACATCGATATACTCATCTATGACTCCATTACATTGATTTTACTACCATCGTACTTGGTTGTAACATCGCTGTACTTGTTTGTAACATCAATATTCGTGGTTGTAACATCATTAATGGTGGTTCTAGCATTATGCTTGGTCGTTACTTCTTTATACTTGGTTGTAGCATCGCTATTCTTGGTTGTAACATCGCTATTCGTGGTTGTAACATCATTAATTGTGGTTCTAGCATTATTCTTGGTTGTAACATCATTATGCTAGGTTGTAACATCGCTGCACTTGTTTGTAACATCGCTGTTCGTAGTTGTAACATCGTTATTCTTGATTGTAACATGATGTTTGGTTGTCACACCGCTATTCATGGTAGTAACATCGTTATTCTTGGCTGTAACATTGTCCTTGGTTCCTTACATCGTTATGCTTGGCTGTAACATCGTGCTTTGTTGTAACACCGCTATTCGTTGTTGTAACATCATTATGCTTGGTTGTAATATTATTCTTGGTTGTAACACCGCTGTTCGTGGTAGTAACATCCGTATGCTTGGCTGTAACATTATTCTTGGTTTTAACACCGCTATTCTTGTTTGTAACACCGCTATTCTTGGTTGTAACACCGCTATTCTTGGTTGTAACACCGCTATTCTTTGTTGTAACACCGCTATTCGTGGGAGTAACATCGATATTCATGGTTGTAACATTCTTGGTTTGTAACGTCGTTCTGCTTGACTGTAATAATATGCTTGGTTGTAACACCGCTATTCGTGGTTATAACATCGATATTCATGGTTGTAACATTCTTGGTTTGTAACGTCGTTATGCTTGACTAATAATATGCTTGGTTGTAACACCGCTATTCGTGGTTATAACATCGATATTCATGGTTGTAACATTCTTGGTTTGTAACGTCGTTTTGCTTGACTGTAATAATATGCTTGGTTGTAACACCGCTATTCGTGGTTATAACATCGATATTCATGGTTGTAACATTCTTGGTTTGTTAGATCGTTATGCTTGGCTGTGATAATATGCTTCGTTGTAACACCACTGTTCGTGGTTTTAACATCTATATTCATGGTTGTAACATCATTAATGGTGGTTCTAACATTATTCCTGGTTGTAGGTGAGGTGAAATTGGGTTTAACTTCGCGTCCAAGATTATTGCACTTATATAGCTACGTGCATGTACGTGTGTGTGTGTGTGTGTGTGTGGCTGCTAGTACTAGTCCGGACTGATGCCGATTTATAGCGCTAGCCCACTGAGATACCATGCCGCAGTTTAACACGAATACCCCACTCAGACACAGTATACTGACTCCAAGCCCACCAGTCCTTGTTTTAGCCCCTTAATGCCGAGCGCCAGACAGGGTAACAACAAGTACCATCTTTTAACGTCTTTTGGTATGACGCGGCCGGGGATCGAACCCCGGACCTTCCGCTCTACCACTAGACCACGGAGGCGGTTCCTTGTTGTAACATCATTGCTCTTTGTTGTAATATCGATATTCATAGTTGTAAGCATGCTCGGTCGTAACGTCATTAATGGTGGTTGTATCATTATACTTGGTTGTAACATCGCTATACTTGGTTGTTGTATAACAATGCCTGTCTGCTCGATATGATTCGCCGATTGATGTTTCTTTTGCCGGCATGTGGCACTGTACATGACAAAATTGACATTACTGAATAAGTTGATGTAATGATGCATATCATATAGAAATAAAATTGTTTTGTCTACATCACATGATGTAATGTTTCTTTAAAGTGCGTTTTATTATCTACGACGGGAAACTATTCGGTGTTCGTGAAAGATGGTGTGACCATTAACATCACAATCCTGAAAGTGTACATGATTGTTTGCAAACGTTGATTTACTGTTGACAAACGTTGATAAATTGTTGTTCTTTGACGTCATCACATTGATGACGTCATGACCTTGAATGTTTTCACGTTACTCGGCTTGTGTTAGTCAGCCCTCGTGTACGCTACAGCAATTTTTTAATTGTTTTCCGCTTCACCGGTCGTCGTTCGCGGTTCGACTATCGTCGATCACCCGTCCGGCCTGTAGCCTTCGTTCACTTTCGGCTAAAATCGTAGGTTCTAATTATCATTTCAGGGGATCAAAAAGTCGAAAACACCCGAAAACCTGAAAACGCGTGATGTTCTGTCATCTCATGAATATTTGATGAGTTTTGATTGATTTCGTTTTCTCACATAGTCCCTCGTGAGTGAGCGAGTTAAAGATTTATGTCACGTCGGCGATAGTCCCCCGTGAGGGAGCGAGTTAAAGATTTATGTCACGTCGGCAATATTTGAATCGTATCGTGACGATAGTCCCTCGTCCTTATTTATTTATTGTCCTTGTTTAAAAGTCAAAATATAGAGTGAGTGAGTGAGTTGGGTTTAACCGCAATTTTTAACAGTATTCCAGTTATATCATGGTCAGCTTAATGTGGGAGGAAAGCCCGAAGTGATGAATGTCGTTTTCCACTTTGATGAAACCCACGAGCACGGATATGATGTTGACAAACCTAGACACATAAAATCGTAACGAACCGGGATTCGAACCCACAACCATAGTTTTTTTATGTACCCAAGGCACGCAACTCTGGAGAGCGAATGGCAACCCATACCCAGTCGGTGTATGAGTAGTCCCTTATATAAGACAACTAGGTTTCGGTAAACAGATAATTGTACTATACTATGTTGCCCAGCGTGTCGTCGGGTTGGAACTGGTGCTCAGTTACCTACGGTGGCTGTTAATAGATCAAGGTCGGAGACTTTGTTGGATTCTGTGTCATCGCACCCCAACAGCGTCGACCGTTCGTTATACTATCAAACCTTGGTTTGTGTGGCCCAGAATCGATTATATACAGGCCGCAATCGTCTAACTGGATAGTTCTGAATGTGTAAAGCATGAAACAAACAAACGCGACTATTCAAGTCATATGTTACATGACTTGTTTCTTACTGTCTTGGAAATGATTTTCGGGGGTATTTGATATTAAATTATGTTTGTTTTTTTTGTTGTTTTTTTATATCAAATTTGACATTTGGATTCCCATGGGCCTCCGCATCTTGTCAAACAGATTAGCCAGGACAAAACCATTACTCCTCCGTACTAGGCTTTGGGTGAAAACAGGTACTTGAGTAGTGAATATTGACAAACGTGATATTCAGATATACGATAAAAGTCTTAATATGTGTCGGATTATCTGGTCCGTGGAATGGGTTAATATAGTTTCGGTACAAATGCTGTTACGGTGACCAGAATCTGATGTAAAGGTTTTTGACAATTTGAACGTACATAAACTGAGCAACGATGAATTTGGATTATTTGTTTCAGAACAGATACATTTTAACTGAAAACGTACTGGAAAAGATCGCCCAAATGCAACTAACAGATCGGATCGGCAATGGTCCGTGCAGTTTTTACTTTCAAACGCTCATTAATTAGTAAACATACACATTTGCAAGATATAGTAAATTGATATGCGGAGGTAGCTACCAAGGTGATACCGCAAAAAACAAAACAAAAACACAACAAAATGAGATGTGTTTGATTTTTCACAGCCTGCTGAGAGAGTTTTTCGCCCCAAACAGACATGAGTATTTATATAATATATTTGATAATATATTAAGATTCAGCATCACTAACCTAAGATTCAACATTTTCATACAATGATACAGCATCACTATGCTAAGATGCAACATTTTCATACCATGATGCAGCATCGCTATGCTAAGATGCAACATTTTCATACAATGATGCAGCATCACAATGGCAAGAGTCAACATTTTCATACTATGATACAGAATCACAATGCTAAGATGTAACACTTTCATACCATATTACAGCATCACTATGCAAAGATTCAACATTTTAATGCCATGATACAGATTCACAATACTAAGAGTAACACTTTCATATCATGATGCAGCATCACAGTGCTAAGATGTGACACTTTCATACCATGATACAGCATCACTATGCTGAGATGTAACACTTTCACATGATACATAATCACAATCCTAAGATGTAACACTGTCATACCTTGTTACAGCATCACTATGCAAAGATTCAACATTTAAATGCTATGATACAGAATCACAATACTAAGATGTAACACTTTCATGCCATGATATAGCATCATAATGCTAAGATGTAACATTTTCATACCATGATACAGAATCACAATGGTAAGATATGACACTTTCATACCATGATGTAGCATCACAATGCTAAGATGTAACACTTTCATACCATGATGCAGCATTACTATGCTAAGATGTAACATTTTCATACCATGATGCAGCACCACTATGCTTAGATGTAACACTTCCATACCAGGATGCAGCATCACAATGCTAAGATGCAACAATTTCATACCATGATACAGCATCACACTGCTAAGATGTAACACTTTCATACCATGATGCAGCATCACAGTGCTAAGATGTAACACTTTCATACCATGATACAGCATCACAATGCTAAGATGTAACATCACTATGCTAAACTACGGTTTGTTAGCTGTCGTTGGTACATGTGGGAAATGAATAATGTGACGAATAGTTAGGAATGTGTGACGTGTACCTAGCAGACTACAATATACAAAACAATGGTATAAAAATTAATAAAAAAATAATGGTTGTCGTTACCATAGAATCACGGAATAATAATAATCTTGACAACAAAAAGAAAGCTTCACCGTAAAACTGATCAATCTGCTGGATTTCATTTTAGTAGAAGCCTTGAAAATGCACTAGAAAGATACGTGATTCATAAACGAAGGAATTGTGTTGTTTATGAGATTAAAATTATTTCGATTCTATTTAACTGTGCATTGTTAAGTTGTACATAATTATAAGAGTCTCTCACTGTCTCTGCAGCTGTAACATGTGATAATAACATAAGGATAAGAAAAGGAAATAACTGTGTATAGCAAATACTAGAACTGAACAAAAAAGTATGTATCATGCATATTTTTTTATATATTTTTTTTTTCGGGGGGGAGGGGGTATTGTTTTTGGTGTGCAGGCTGAGCACACACTGTCTTAATCTTTTTTTGTCCAATATACATTTATTTAGATAAGGGAGCCATGCAGAAGAGAATAATAGTATGCTGAATGATGCCGGTATCCTTAAAAGAGTTAGTTAGACAGCGTCTCTCTCTCTCTCTCTCTCTCTCTCTGAAGGATGTCAACTGCCTCATACTGCTTGTGGGACGGGAGAACCGTGGGTCATTCATTCATCAATAAGCCTCTCTGTTGTTAAATCCTACACACACGATGTGTTGCTGACTCTACACACAAGATGTGTTGCTGACTCTACACACAAGATGTCGTGCTAACTCTACACACAAGATGTGTTGCTGGCTCTACACACACGATGTGTTGCTGACTCTACACACAAGATGTTTTGCTGACTCTACACACAAGATGTGTTGCTGACTCTACACACACGATGTGTTGCTGACTCTACACACAAGATATGTTGCTGACTCTACACACACGATGTGTTGCTGGCTCTACACACAAGATGTCGTGCTAACTCTACACACAAGATGTTTTGCTGACTCTACACACAAGATGTCGTGCTAACTCCACACACACGATGTGTTGCTGACTCTACACACAAGATGTGTTGCTGGCTCTACACACAAGATGTGTTGCTGACTCTACACACACGATGTGTTGCTGACTCTACACACAAGATGCGTTGCTGGCTCTACACACAAGATGACCTGCTCTCGTCTCTAAGAATCCGCTCAATCTTGTCTGCATCTACTGCAATCTTCTTCTCTCCAAGCAAAGATATGCCGTGCTCCTTCTCGTGTATACTGTAATCTCCGTTCACCTGTAATCAACAGGAGTGAGTTAGCTCAACACCGTTTTAAACAGTATTTTAGTTAGATCACGGTGTGTCAGCTCCTTGTGGGAAGATGACCCCGATTGATAGAGGTCTTCACTTCAGTGAAACCCGTCAGTAAAGCTATGGTGATCGTAGATCACCTGATCCTGGCATACCCAAGGAACGCAACTTAGTGACGCGTTGCCTTACTACTACTACTACTACTACTACTACTACTACTACTAGTACCACTACTACTACTACTACTACTAATCCACTTTTATAGCGCATACTTTTACAAGCAATGTATCCTCGGAGCGTTTAAGAAAGTTATCAGCTCAGTGATGGCGTGATTGAAAAGTCTTTAATCTAAAATCAAAGTTTCAAGATGTTTTTTATGCATTGGCTACACGCATTTCGAAAATTTTGAATATTGAATATAATAGCATTAAACGTTTGCTGCATTTTCTAACAACGGAACGCAATTATGGACGAATCACACCCCTAAAGTATAGTCATTTAGAATCTGTCATATGTTCTCATAAGGTTTGTTTCCAAAAAAGATTCTACGTATCTGCTGACCAAAACTTTCATAATCGTGGAATTAATATATAATTTTGAGAAAAGACTTTTAATGAAATAAGTAATATCAGTACAGAAAAATACATAAGTAATCACAAGGAATGAACTCTTTGCCTTGACATTCTCAACGTTGTTTGGCTTTCAGATACCCTTTTTCCTTTTTTCGCTTCTTTGGTTGTATCTTAAGGGAACGCTTAAATGCATGTTTAAAAACATGCTTTCATTATTATCTAAACACAATTTTAAAGAATTAGTCGTCAATATATTTACCATATATGGAAGAGCATGAGGCGCAGGATGGGCTTCTGTTAGAGATGTGTCCGTTGGTGCCAATGTATATCCAACCAGACACTGAAACAGAGAAGATGAAGACCGTGATGAGCATTACCAGGGGTTATCAGAAGACAATGTTCGATTATTCAGGTGTACCGAGTCGGCCCAGCGGATTCAAAAGCCACACACCGCCTCTGTGATGTTGGCGGAAGGTTTGTTTATTGCATTCACCAATATTCCAGGTATTTCACGTCGGTATGTAAATAATTGAGTCTGGACCAGACAATCTGGAGGAAAGACCGACATGAAGCAGATGGCAGATATTTACCACTTGGCTAAAAAGACCAGCTCTGTGGTCTAGTGGTAGCGGGTCCGCCCGGAGAGCGGAAGGTCTGGGGCTCGATCCCCGAACGCATCCTACCAAAAGACGTTAAAAGATTATACTTGTTGTTACCCTGTTTGGCGCTCGGCTTTAAGGGGCTAAAATAAAGACTGGTCGGCTCGGAGTATACTGTGTCTGAGTTGGGTATTCATGTTAAACTGCAGCATGGTATCTCAGTGAGCTAGCACTATAAATCGGCATCAGTGCGGACTAGTACAAGCAGCCACACAAACACACACGCACATGCACGTCGCTATATAAGTGCAATAATCTTGGACGCGACGTTTAACCCAATTTCACTTCACTTCAAAAGCCACAAGCATTAATTTTTGTATTTTCCCTATCGCCTTTGATGGATTGGTAAAACAGTAAGTCAGTCACAGTGATCGCGCGTCGTAGTACATTTACATGACGTCAAAATGGCCGACATGATAAAGGTCATTAAAGATGTGTCAAATAGACACTAAGGTAAATTCAAAGATTGCTGTAGACTGTCACTGTCAGCCTAGACGTGGATCGAGTCGATACTACGATAGTTTGGATGTGCATTCTTCGTTTGGTTCACTGGGATTGGTCGTAGCGGGGAAATTCGTGAACAATCACGATCAAACTCTCTGACGTTTCTCAATGTCTTCTAAAACGCTGAGTTCAAGATTAAAGGGTCTAACTGTTCAGAAAGAACGCTTCTGCTTGTATTCGTGCTAGGGAATTTCCAGGGTTTTCCCCAGGAATGTGGAAGTAGTCCGTCAGTGTTTACGTCTTTTCAAGAACACGGTCTCGTGAAAAACGTATGAACGTCAAAATGTGTCGTTCATACACTTGTGAACGACAATTTCGCGGTCATGTGACCGACCTGTCGTCCAATGGAAAAGCCGTATATCGTGTAAATTTAAAATCAAAACATTATCAGAAGATGTGTGTTCACACACACCTGGTTACATTTCTATGTGATAGTGACTGCTTTCAGTAGATACTTATTATGATCATAACAGAGTTTTGTCGCTTTTAACATTGATACTAATGATGAAAATAGTTGGGATTATTTATAAGTTATATACCAAACACTAGAGTATGTTCAAATGCCGTCGCTACTATTACCCCGGACAATGGATCAGGGTTCTCTCGAATGTCATTCTCAGCTCCCTGAGGAGAATACAACTCAAGCTAACAATAAGGCGCCAGTTAACATTACAATCTCATCCTAACATTATCCATACGTTTTCACTGGGTATGGTACTTTCGAGAGAATAAACGGAGTTACTGTATATATTAGCAAGGCATTGCCAAGTGTTCGTTAGTGCATATGCCCGCTTTACGAATTGATCGTAGAATATTCGCTGATAGAAGTACAAAGAAACCTCTTTAACTCGATGTTCTCGAGAGTGTGAACAGTGTATTGATGTATCCGTATTTCGAGATTTGTCGAGTTTCGATAGAGATCATAGGTCGATAATTTACCGAGGAGGGGCACGGGTGGCCTTGTCCTCTAAGGCGCCGCAATTAGCTGTGCAGAGTTGCGTTCCTTGAATGCGCCAGAAACCTATGATTGTGGGTTCGAATCCCGGTTCGCCCCGATTATGTTTCTAGGTTACTCGTGCTCGTGGGTTTCACCGAAGTAGTAAACATCTGAGACCTGCATCACTTCGGGCTCTCCTCCAAGATAAAGCTGAAACTTCGTGCCATAACTGGAATTCTGTTCATAACAATGTTTAACAAATCACTCACTCACTCACTCACTCACTCACTCACTCACTCACTCACTCACTCTTTAATCCGAAATTCCTTTATCCCAATGTTGCACGGATAACACATAATTCTGATCAAAGCGACGTTAAAAACAATAGCACTCACTCTACCGAGTATAGTATCCAGTTATCCAGACAATAAAAATTATCTTTAAAATTTTCATTGTAACAACATATTAGGAACACAATTATCACAGAAGTTACCTGTTTATACGAACACAACCCATCCCGTATATTGATATACAATGTCGGATCCACAGGCTTTTCTCTGTTGCAACCTACAACAATATATATACGTATTTCAGAAAGTACGCAAGATAATATACATCAGGTGAACATTAAACCAAGACTGGCCAGCGCCGGACTGTTTCTGAATTATTAGTCTCTCAATTTTATTCACGACAATCCAAAAATGGAACCATTCATTGCCTCAATCTCTGGGCATTATAAACTCTGAAAAGGCAAACTATACGCAACGTAAAATGAAAGTATACATGTCAAGAACGTTCCTGTGAAATTTGTTGTGATACTGTGATACAAGTGATACGTGCCGCCCGAACACATCATGCACGTGCAGTACCTGATATTTGGCTCAAAGGTCACGTGATCACGTCTTATTGAAAGTTTTTCCTCCCTCGCAACGATTTAACAATGATAACTGAATGCAATAGTAGAAAATGCAACCCTTTAGAAAAAATCGCGCATGAGAGAGACGTAAGCATACGCACTGCGTGGCGCTCTCTTAATCGGATAAGTCAACAATCTCATTAAAATCAGATCTTAGTTCTCGCTACCGCTAAACAAAGATCTGAGGACATCCCATTAGGGAGCGTCGCTCACCAGATCATGAAAGTGACAGTCGGAATGTGATTTCTAATCATGCAGCCTCGCAAACTTTAAAACGTGGTATTCCGAACGATAGTTACGGGCTTAACGACTGGATCTATACAATCTGGACCATATATTAGCCATTCGAGAATGTTCTTTTGTTCAGGTTTCAATTTTTAAGCGAGAATTTGTCAAAATATGTTTCGAAGCGTAGTCGACAATTTGCAGTAAGTGCCGTAAAGCACGAGAAAGCTGCTTTCTGATTGGCTAATGTCGACTTCTTGTCAGTAATTCCATTGGTCGGTCAGAGTTCGCGAAAGGTCGGTCTGACGTGACCCGTAATGGGATGTCCTCAGATCTTTGTTTAGCGGCAGCGAGAACTAAGATCTGATTTTAATGAGATTGATATGTCAATTATATATACAGTGGCTATATATATATATATATATCCCAGTTGTGATTTTTATTCTCTAGCATGTCTGTCACCTTAAAAAGCAGATGATACAGATCCCAAAGCACAACATCAATACCTATTGAGTGCTGTTGAGTGTTCATGAGCACAGGGGACCCAGTCATCTAAGGCGTCCCCTGAGCACGCCAGAAACCTGTGGTTATGGTTTTGAATCACAGTTCGACCCGATTATACTTCTGGGTTTATCAGCACTATACCGTGCTTGAGGGTTTAACCTGCGTCTCTGACCTGCTTCACTGTGGGCTTTCCCCCACATAAGGCATAATGCGGCGTTAGAACCAACTCACTACATCAATGATGTGTTGATGCAGCCTTTGATTTTACTAAATATTTCGTTAATGATACCGAATACACGTGTAAGCATCACGTTACATGTTAGATAAAAAGCGGTTTCTTTAAACACGCTACTGAATAATGGGACTGAGTGGGCGAGTGAATACGGTTTTACGCCGCATTTAGCAATACTCCATCAATACCATGAAGGTGGACATAGTGTACCCATGTGCTAATTGAGTGAGTGAGTATGATTTTACGCCGCTTTTAGCAATATTCCAGCAATATCACGACGGGGGACACGGGCTTCACACATTGTACCCATGTCGGGAATCGAACCCGGGTCTTCGGCGTGACGAGCGAACGCTTTAACCACTAGGCTACCCGACCGCCCCATGTGGTAATTGAACCCGTCCATCCGCATGGTGACTTTCGCCCCTAGACTCTACCACCGTGGTGATGAGTATATTTCAAATCTTTAAAGATGATTTAAAGAAACATATTGGGTCTTGTATTCTTACCTGTTAGACTAGAAACAACAATACCCACAACGATGGCGACTATGACCGACACAGTGCTGTAGTGTAGATACGATAGACTGTAAATCTTGTCTATTATGTCACTGAAACGATGTAAATATTACATATCAGTGACGGGTTACACGTGGATCATTACATGAGTTGTCCCCATTGAGTGAGTGAGTATTCCAGTTATATCACTGGCGTGTCAGCTTAATGTGGGAGGAAAGCCCAAAGCGATGCAGGTCTCAGACGTTTAGCGCTTCGGTGAAACCCACGAGCACGGGTATGGTGCTGACAAACCTAGAAACATAATTGGGGTGAACCGGGATTCGAACCCACAATCATAGGATTCTGGCGTGCCCAAGGGACGCAACTCTGCACAGCGAATCGCGGCGCCTTAGACGACTGGGACACCCGTGATTAAAGTGTTCTGTTTCTGCTATTTAATTTGAATGTCATTTATAGTATCGAAGTAATGCCGAAAGTAACGCGTGTCCATCGATTTCCATTGTTTTTTCTTCAACGTTCAGATTGTATGTCGCCATGTCTTTTTATCAAACAATCACACCGATGAAGCTATCTAACGGTAATCATTATTTTTAAGGTATAATTTGTTACATTTTGTAAGGTTGTTTGCATGCAGTTTTACCTCATAACAATATCTACCAAAACATACCCGTCAGTTACACTATCCGCCAATACACAAACACACCGCATTCGACGTAATAAGCGCCCCGCTCTAATAAGCGCCCACGGCGATATTTGCTAATATATTGGCTAGAGAACAATCCCAATTAGCACCCCTTTGATCAATGTAGACAAGATTTATTTATTCGCGTATAATACGCACTCGTGTGTTATATGCACCCTTAATTATGGGCAATTAATTTCTGGAAAAATATATCTCTCGTATATAAACATTTCAGGCTGTCAGTAAAAACCACGAAATTTATCTTTCAACTCTGTTTTTTACACCAAAATAATATTCTAATAAGAGCCCCCTATTTCTAATTTTGAGAGCGCCCTGGGCGCTAATTACGTCGAATACGGTACCCGTTAGTTATATCAAGACGTTTCGTTTGACACTATACTTACATACCACGTGTAACAGATAGAACACTGGTATCATTTATGGAAGCTGTGATAATGGAAAAAGCAGATAATGCTGTCGTGGTAACATTGCTGCTGTCGAGGGTGCAGCCATCCGTGACCAGATTCAAGGCACCCCGCGGGGCAGGATTCAGAGCAGCGCCCACCCCAAGCCACAGGGACACGACCAGACTGCTAGTCAACCCGGCACCAGCTCCCTGCAAACGTATGGTTAATAGTGACAGTTAAGTGGATATAATGTCAATGAGTTATTTGGGTTTAACGCTGTTTTTAAAAGTTATTCAGGTATATCACGACAACGTGTGTTTGTGTAATATCAGGGGACAAATTCCAAAGTGATTTAGGGCCAAGACTCATTTAACTTCGGAGACACCCAGGACAGGGTGTGGTGTTGACAAAGCAAGGTGAGGTGGTGGTAAAGTGGTGGTGAAGTGGTGGTGAGGTGAAATGGGGTTTAACGTCGCGTCCAAGATTATTGCACTTATACAGCGACGTGCATGTGTGTGTGTGTGTGTGTGTGCGCGCGCGCGTGTGTGTGTGTGTGTGGCTGCTAGTACTAGTTCGGACTGATGCCGATTTATAGTGCTAGCACACTGAGATACCATACCGCAGTTTAACATAGACACAGTATACTGACTCCGAGCCGACCAGTCCTTGTTTTAGCCCCTTGATGCCGAGCGCCAGACAGGGTAACAACAAGTCCCATCTTTTAACGTCTTTTGGTATGACGCGGCCGGGGATCGAACCCCGGACCTTCCGCTCTCCGGGCGGACGCTCTACCACTAGACCACGGAGGCGGTCGACAAGGCAAGGACATTGGTCAGGACAAAGTTTGATTATCTGAATGACCACCTTCGTGGTCTAGTGGAAGAGCATCCATCTGGAGAACGGAAGATCCGAGGTTCGATCCCCGGCCGCGTTACATCAAAAGACGTTTAAAGATGGTACTTGTTGTTACACTGCCTGGCGCTCGGCTATAAGGGGCTAAAACAAGGAGTGGTATACTGTGTCTGTGTGGGGTATTCATGTTAAACAGCATGGTATCTCAATGGCATTAGTATCGACTAGTACAAGCAGCCACACACACGTGCATGCATGTCACTATATAATTGCAATAAAACGACGTTAAACCCCATTTCACCTCACCTGAACATCTGATATGGAGTGCCTAAGGGACGCAACTCTACATAGCCAGTGCAGTCTCTCAGATGACAGGGCCACATGTGTGTCAGCTTAATGTTAGATAATGTTAATACTGACGCAGAAAGTAGAAAGTGGTGCCATCTTGGTGAAACACTAGTCAAATTAAACGTTCTAGAAGTCCGACTATATTTTAGTGTCTACTTGAGTACAGTATTTGAATTAAAATTACAAAGTAATTGAAATTTTACAAAGACACACACCCAATGAAACTTCGATAACTCAGTGTCAGTGGGTGAATCGGAAGTAATCGTGTTATGGGAAGTACTGGGAAGTACTGAGTACCGATACTAGAATGCAGAGATAATGGGGCTTCACAGGGGCATTAATAGATAGTGTCAGGTGTTTGATGAAGATTGCTTGGTGTGTGAGTGAGTGAGTTGGGTTTAACGCCGCTTTTAACAGTATTCCAGTTATATCGCGGCGTGTCAGCTTAATGTGAGAGGAAAGCCCGAAGTGATGCAGGTCTCAGACGTTTACCACTTCGGTGAAACCCACGAGCACGGGTATGGTGCTGACAAACCTAGAAACATAATCGGGGCGAACCGGGATTCGAACCCACAATCATAAGTTTCTGGCCTGCCCAAGTGTCTTGGAGTGTAGATGTAAGAGTAAATAGATTGGAAATTCTGAAAAATTAATGTTGACATCGTTCAAAATGTTGTCATTAAAGAACTTCATGGCTGCGGAAAACGGACTAAAAGATTGAAGTGAAGGTCGTCCTGATAAATCGTATCCATTTCATCTTGTCACTGGTAAGTATTATTTTACCCCAGCAATATCATGGAGGGGACAACAGAAATGGGCTTCATACATTGTACCTCCATGTACGTGGGAACTGAACCTTCGACGTGACTAGGGATCGTTGTAACACTAGGCAAACCCTCAGTCCTCATGACCTATGCAACATCGTGCTTTGATTTAGGAATTGAGCTGACTGCATTTACATGTGTGCAGTTGAATGTATCTCTCATGTATACATTTTCTGGAACAGCCTATCGTGAAACATCACAACTTCGCGATCTATATTGTCATTTTTTATATAGTTAACCCCGTTAACATGGAACACGTTAATCCGAAAATCTTCCGGAGGAGTACTGGTCGGAACATCAGGTATAAACAGAAATATTACTCTATAATAAGAACCGCGAAACTACCGATGATATAGTATATGTTTGTATAATTTTTACATCTAGATACTTTCATTGCGAACATACGGAAGCCTTTTATACGGAAGCCTTTTAGGGCCATGTAAAAAAAAATATGGAAATTTCCACTTAGTATCAGGAAAATTCCACTTAGTATCTGGAAATTTCCACTTAGTATCTGGAAAATTCCACTTAGTATCTGGAAATTTCCAGATACTAAGTGGAAATTTCCAGTTAATAGAGATATGAATTGTTTTGGACATGGCCCTAAAAGGCTTCCGTACGAACAGTAACGGGGCTGCACTGTATATACATGTATACCAGACTTACCCACGAGTTAACGAAGGGAAAGAACATTCCGTTACAGAACAGCCCGAGCAACGGTCCTCCCAGCATTCCAAAGACACTTAGACCAATTTGTAGTACACTTCTCCCCACGATACCTGCGACGTACGCCAGGCCAACTGTCAGGAGCCCGTAAAATATTGCTGCAGTGAAAGGGTTCAAGTTATATGTAAATAAATCACCCGTGAAGATCCGGGTTAATGTAGGTTTCAGCCACCCATGCTTCACGTAAGAGTGGGTGAGTGAGTGAGTTGGGTTTAACGCCGCTTTTAACATTATTCCAGTTATATCGCGGCGTGTCAGCTTAATGTTGGAGGAAATCCCGAAGTGATGCAGGTCTCAGACGTTTACCACTTCGGTGAAACCCACGAGCACGGGTATGGTGCTGACAAACCTAGAAACATAATCGGGGCGAACCGGGATTCGAACCCACAATCATAGGTTTCTGGCGTGCCCAAGGGACGCAACTCTGCACAGCGAATCGCGGTGCCTTAGACGACTGGGCCACCCGTGCCCCCCTTCACAAAAGAGGCGCCTATACACGTACGTGTCGTTAGAGGCGACCAACGGGTTCGGGTGGTCAGGTTGATGCATGTCATCGTATCCCAATTGCGTAGATCGATGTTCATGATATCAATCACTGGATTGTCTGGTCCAAACTCGCATATTTACAAACTGCCATCATATAGCTGAAATATTTCAGTGAGGCGTTAAACAACAAACAAAGAAACAAACAAAATGTAAATAAATAATGAATCATGAAGTCATCTCCTATTGTGAAGGTTTCTGTAATTTAACAACACGTGTTAGAATCATGGCTTCCAATAGGGTTATGTTCAGGGACGCGTTACTTCTATGGTCATAAAGAAAGACGGTGACAAAATCTATCTAAAACCGCTATGACACATTATTGTGTGACTTTAAATCACATTCTTTTATATCTGTTCTTTCGCAAGATATTTTTTTTATGGTTATATCATAATTGAAAAAGATGTACCTTTTCGTTTCAAATACATGTCCATGCGCATGCAGTTAAGGTCAATCCGATAAGGAGTGAGTGAGTTGGGTTTAACGCCGCTTTTAACAGTATTCCAGCTATATCGCGGCGTGTCAGCTTAATGTGGGAGGAAAGCCCGAAATGATGCAGGCCTAAGACGTTTACCACATCGGTGAAACCCACGAGCACGGGTATGGTGCTGACAAACCTAGAAAAATAATCGGGGCGAACCGGGATTCGAACCCACAATCATAGGTTTCTGGCGTGCCCAAGGGACGCAACTCAGCACAGCGAATCGCGGCGCCTTAGACGACTGGGCCACCCGTGCCCCCAATCCGATAAGGGAATCATGCAGTATGGGATACTTTCACATCATCTATCGCATTTACTGAAGTAGATACAACATTTCGCAGCATCACAATTTGCAGCTTAGTAACAGGTCCTCCCGAGAGTACAATAACAACCCCACAACAAATATATCAAACAATGTATTTTGTACTTGAAAATGTAGGTCACCGAAGACAAAATTGTCCATTTCGAGTGAACTAATAATAATATTGCTTTTATTAACTTCCAATTAATATTGAACTAATTTATAACAGTTAGTTGACAATAATTACATGAACACATTAATAATTATTAATTTTAGTTGGCAATGATTATGTGAACTAATTAATAAAAGCCTATGTTAATTTTTCAACAATAACGTGGTCTAATAACTGTCAATGTCATCAATATTACGTTATTACTATTTAATAATGTATTTATGTATGCCGACATGGGTACAATGTGTGAAGCCCATTTCTGGTGTCACACGCCGTGGTATTGCTGGAATATTGCTAAAACGGCGTAAAATCATACTCACTCACTCACTCACTAATAATATATTTATAACGTTATTACTAATTAATGACTGTTTATGGTTAAACATAATGCTTACATGAACTTATTAATAACTGCAAATGTTAATTATCAACTATTACATGATCTGATAATTGTTAATGGTAATGTGCAATGCTCATATGAATACATTCATAACCTCCAATGTTAAATATCAGTGATAACGTGATCTAATTACTCTTTATGTTGATTTCCAATTGTTACGTGACCTAATTGCTTTCTCACACTGTTATTTGTCAATTATTATATGCGTTCTCACAAATGCATATCTTACATGATCCATTACAATATACATACAGTGATCGATCGCTATTGCGCTCTTCGAAAAAGCGTTATTTCGGTTACTTCGCGCGGTAACGCATGGCTCCCAAAATTTATGTACACTTTTAATACTGGGAGTTTAACACAGACATGATTGTATTGTTGTTCGTTGTCCATTTGCACATAACGCTTCTCATTGCAAAATCAACCGTTTATTGCTGAATGGAGTTGTAATAATCTGTTTGAAAACATCCGCGGCAAGTCCCGGAAATACGATTGTTCTGCTGCATGTATATATTGTATTGCGTCATTCTTCCCCGGTAGCATCGAACATTCTCTGTTCGATTATTATCGTGTGCGGTTTTCAACGACATTGTTTACACCATGACTGTTAATTAATCAATCAGAAATTACGTATCGATATATTGATTTTATGAAAATATCCGTTTCGAATTTGTAAGATACATATACAACGTCATATAAAATATAACTTACAGCACACCATGGAGAGTACAGAGAGTGTTTTGTTAGAGGGATCCTTCCCAAATAATGATAGGGCAGGTTTCAGGTAGTCGCATATAGACACAGCGGCAAGGGAGTTCACTCCTGATGAGACGGTACTGAAACCAAATGCACTGAATTCGGCTTAACAACAAAGACGTGATTTAATCATTAAACAAGCAAAGATAATTTAGTCAATGAACACCTTCATATTCACGAAATCGTTCCAAATGACAGGCATCATCGGTGATCTTTGCCTTATGGTGTTGCCTCGAGAATATAGACATGTACAGTTCAACGCTATTAATCTGCAAGGCTTAAGTGAGTGAGTGAGTGAGTTGAGTTTAACGCCGCTTTTAACAGTATTCCAGTTATATCGCGGCGTGTCAGCTTAACGTGGGAGGAAAGCCCACGGGTATCGTGCTGACAAACCTAGAAACATAATCGGGGCAAACCGGGATTCGAACCCACAATCATAGGTTTCTGGCGTGCCCAAGGGACGCAACTCTGCACAGCGAATCGCGGCGCCTTAGACGACTGGGCCACCCGTGCCCCCGAACGGCTTAAGAATTAACATTTTCCTGGATAAACGAATCATTTTACTGAGTATTTCCTATATAGCTATGTAACCTGTGTAGCAGTATTCGTCCGAGAAAATAAGATTTCCGCAAGGACGGGGAATGGATTAAACTGGTTAAACTCTACACACACAAAACTACTACAAAATATTGAGGTTCACAATCGACCAAACTGTGTTAGCATTTTGTATTTATCTACCTGAGTGAAGCGCTGAAAATACAGGAAACAAATAGTCCAGGTAGGCCAGGAATACTGCCGAGGGTATCCATCATATATAGCGGTACAATCTGTGAATATAAAGAGAGAGTTTCTATCAAGAATGGCGATACAATCTGTGAAAAGAGAAGAGAGGGTATCCATCATATATAGCGGTAAAATCTGTGAATATAAAGAGAGGGTATCCATCAAAATGGCGGGTAAATCTGTGATAAAAAGAGAGGGTATCCATCATATATAGCAGTACAATCTGTGAATATAAAGAGGGAGTTTCTATCAAGAATGGCGATACAATCTGTGAAAAGAGAAGAGAGGGTATCCATCATATATAGCGGTAAAATCTGTGAATATAAAGAGAGGGTATCCATCAAAATGGCGGGTAAATCTGTGATAAAAAGAGAGGGTATCCATCATATATAGCAGTACAATCTGTGAATATAAAGAGAGGGTATCCATCATATATAGTGTTACAATTCGTGAATATAAAGAGAGGGTATCCATCATACATAGCGGTACTATCTGTGAATATAAAGAGAGGGTATCCATCATATATAGAGGTACAATCTGTGAATATAAAGAGAGGGTATCCATCATATATAGAGGTACAATCTGTGAATATAAAGAGAGGGTATCCATCATACATAGCGGTACTATCTGTGAATATAAAGAGAGGGTATCCATCATATATAGAGGTACAATCTGTGAATATAAAGAGAGGGTATCCATCATATATAGCGGGACAATCCGTGGATACAAAGAGAGGTTATCCATCATATATAGCGATACAATCTGTAAATATAAAGAGAGGGTATCCATCATATATAGCGATACAATCTGTTAATATAAAGAGAGGGTATCCATCATATATAGCGATACGATCCGTGAATACAAAGAGAGGGTATCCATCATATATAGCGATACAATCTGTAAATATAAAGAGAGGGTATCCATCATATATAGCGATACAATCTGTTAATATAAAGAGAGGGTATCCATCATATATAGCGATACGATCCGTGAATACAAAGAGAGGGTATCCATCATATATAGCGATACAATCGCGCCCTGCATATCACCATGTGATACAGATTCGCTGTGCAGAGTTGCGTCCCTTGGGCACACCAGAAACCTATGATTGTGAGTTCGAATCCCGGTTCGCCCCGATTATGTTTCTAGGTTTGTAAGCACCATACCCGTGCTCGAGGGTTTCATCGAAGTGGTAAACGTCTGAGACCTGCATCACTTCGGGCTTTCCTCCCTAGAATAGACTAGAATAATGTTAAAAGCGGCGTTAAACCCAACTCAGTAACTCACTCACTCATGGCACAGCGTTACGAACTAGACTTCCCTTGGACATTTAAGTTTTACATTTGGTGCCAGAATTGTGTGTAGCTTAAACAATTGAAACTTCATACCTGGTCAAGTTTGGCGATTCGCCCGCTGAGAAACGGGTCACAGTCGTGGTAGCGCGCGTAGATAGCAAGGCCGACAGCACAGATGAGAAGCATATTCATGACGGCGATAGGCAAGGTCAGCCAGAGGACACTAAAGAGACCAAAAAAACATGAAATGAGTTAGTGAGTATTGTTTTACGCCGCTTTTTTTGCAATATTCACTCAGTACCACGGCGGGGGATACAAATGGGCTTCACACATTGTACCCTTTTTGGGAATCGAACTTGATTCATCGACGTTACGAGCGAATGCTTTAACCACAAGGCTACGCCACCGCCTCTATCAAATGAGTGACAGCATGTTGTTTAACATTTTTCCAGCTGCATCGTCGTTGTACGTAACGAATCGAGCCATGACCTGTTCTAATTAGTTTGAATCCAGTGTTCATTAACATCATGAACAGCCGCGCACGGTGGGATACGATGACTTTCATCAACCAAGTGAGCGAGCCTGACCACCCGATCCCGTTAGTCGTCTTTTACGGCAAGCACGGGTTGCTGAAGACCAATTCTACCCCGGATGCCACGATTCTGATCCTTGGTTTGTCAGCACTGTACTCCCTGTATTAAGTTACCACGCCGTGATATAAATGATATTCTGGTTATACAGGCGTTAGACGTTACTCAGTCATTCACTCTTTGGTAAGCCAAGGCTGAACGCCTGGGGGATAAAACCGTGTCGTCACTGCACACTTTGACGGGGTTGTTAATTAAGTGAGACAGTGAATCAGTGAGTATGGTTTTACGCCGCTTTAAGCAATATGCTAACAATATCACGGAAGGGAACACCAGAAATGAGCTTCACACATTGGGGACTTGAACCCGGGTTTTCGGCATGACGAGCGAACGCGTTAACCATTTGGCTACCCCATGTCCCCCGAAGATTACGTCCTGGATGAGATGCGTTCACAGAAATTCGACTTTTTTAATCATGATTATATTTTAGTCAAAGGAGATTTACCTACGTACAGTTGAATTGAATTTCTATTCAAAGACCTCTAAGTATGGAATACTGTAAGGGACATTCTCGCGATCTCGCATTCTCCCTTTGGAAACGTGGTAACAGAGACCATATATCGGTATAAGGTCTCTGGTGGTAAATATGCCCGAAACACGAGAATGCGAGAACGCGAGAACGCGAGACTTTTGCCAAATCTCGCGATCTCGCATTCTCGTGTTTGGGGTATATTTAGCTCGTTTCCATAGGTCGAGATCGCGAGAATGTCCCTGACAGTATTCCAAATCTAAGATCAGCAGAATGTTCCACTAGCTATAGTTTTGGTTATATTTGGTGAACAACTGTCATAATTACTTGTTGGTGATGAAGGTGATATATAACTTATCATCACGAAGCCGCAAGAAGCTGTTGACACATCTGAGTGCACAGGAGGTCAATTCGTTTAATGCGATTCGATGTGCAGAGTTGCTTCCCTTATGCTTTCCGGAATATCTTGAATCGTGAGTTCGAATCCCACGACGCCTTGATAATGTTTCTGGGTTTGTCGGGGTGATCGGGTAGCCCAGTGGGTAAAGCGTTCGCTCGTCACGCCGAAGACCAGGGTTCGATTCCCGACATGGGTACAATGTGTGAAGCCCATTTCTGGTGTCCCCGCCGTGATATTGCTGGAATATTGCTAAAAGCGGCGTAAGGCCATACTCACACACTCACTCACTCTAGGTTTGTCGGAACCATACCTATGCTCGTCGTTATTACCAAAGAGGTAAATCACTGGCACCTGCATCAAACCGACATTCCTTGATCTTATTGAAGTACCGTTCAAAGTGGCATAAGGCCCAATTGTACCATGAACTTGAAAATTAATCGATTTTGATTGGTAGTGATTAAGATTGGTAATTAAGAGGTTTCCAATAGTGATACCACCCCACCCCACCCCACCCCACCCACACACCCCACCCCACCCCCTTAAAGAGCTGATTTATCAACACGGCCGTATCAACACGGAAACTCATATTCTTTCTTCTTCTCTTTCTTCGACTTCTTTCTCAATGATTAATTAAACAATTAAAGTTTACAAAGTGTGCTAATTCAGCACTAATGCCAGTATGTATGACAATACATTTTGGGCAGAAAACAAGACAGAAATCGACTCGAGAGTGTGTTCTAGTTTTTCGGAACCACAATGAGCTTGATATTTTGCACTTTTGTATATCTATATTGACGTCATATCCCTTGGGTCACAAAGTGCGGTGTGGGGTCGAATAGTGACGTGCGGTGTAGAATAGCACCTTGCGACTCTGTTTTGTTTCTTTTGAGGCGCCCTTTCATGATGTTATCTGTTGTTATACTGCACACATTCAATGACTGTCATGCATACGAGAAAATAATGATGATGTGAGGATATCGGGGTTTCCTCAATCATGGCCGACAACCAACGCAAACAAAGATTTCGCTTTTATGTCATGGCAGAATAGAGGTAAACATACCGTCTTTTCAATGCAAAAGTTAGGTTGCCCTAACCGTGCTAAATGTAACAATTGAAACCTTGGGCTGTTCGTTCGCAAACAAATTTAACGGTGAACGAGCTGTACTTTGGAAACATAGCTTGTTTATCACCCAACTTTCTCACTACTATATCATCCTATGCTCACAGTTGCGCTCCTTTCAGGGTCTTCACGCTTGAGTATCGCTGTAGCGTGGCCTGGTTTGACGCGTAGACTGTGAGGAAGGTGAAGAAACCACCGATGTTCAGAGTCCAGAAGCTGTTCCTCACGAAGGGGTCAGGATTGAAGCTGGCGAATTAAAATAATAATAATGATGATGATGATGATGATGATGATGATGATCCGGGTTTTCTACCAGGAATACAGCCCTTCTGGGTAATGCAGAAGACTGCAGTGTTGGGGAGTCTTCACATTCTCCGAAAAGTTCTGGGTGGGTTTCACTAGGCAGCGCTTCCTGGGAGAAGTCCCATTCGCTGTCTAGGCTGCGTGTAGAGGGGGCAAGGGCCCTGAGCTGATGATAAGCCTGACTGTGCCAGGATCACCCAAACCCTCTTTGCTCTATTTTTTATTTTAATCTGTACATAATAATAATACAATATAGATGATGATCATGATGATCAAGAACATGAGAATACAAAACACGGATCTGTATTAGCAAAACAATTCTTACTCAAAATATGGCATTCTTCCCCCTAAGGTGGCCCTCTCGAACATCTTCCCTAGTCCCCCTACATCCAGGGCGCCTTGTACTACAAGGGCAAGTAGCCCTCCAGTGATGATGAACAGTTGAAAAACATCTGTCCACACAACAGCCTTTATACCACCCTGCAACATGACATACAACATGACACAACTGCAACATCACATACAACCGCAACATTACATGCAACATGACATTCAACTGCAACATGTCATGCAACTGCAACTTGTCATGCAACTGCAACTTGTCATGCAACTGCAACTTGTCATACAACTGCAACATGACATGCAGCCGCAACATGTCATGCAACTGCAACATGTCATGCAACTGCAACATGTCATGCAACTGCAACTTATCATACAACTGCAACATGACATGCAACTGTAACATGTCATGCAACTGCAACATGACATGCAACTGCAACTTGTAATGCAACTGCAACTTGTCATACAACTGCAACATGACATGCAACTGCAACATGACATGCAACTGCAACATGGCATGCAACTGCAACATGTCATACAACTGCAATATATCATGCAACTGCAACATGTCATGCAACTGCAACTTGTCATACAACTGCAACATGACATGCAACTGCAACATGACATGCAACTGAAACATGTCATGCAACTGCAACATGTCATACAACTGCAACATGACATGCAACTGCAACATGTCATGCAACTGCAACTTGTCATACAACTGCAACATGACATGCAACTGCAACATGGCATGCAGCTGCAACATGACATGCAACTGAAACATGACATGCAACATGGCATGCAACTGCAACATGACATGCAACTGAAACATGACATGCAACATGGCATGCAACATGTCATGCAACTGCAACATGACATGCAACTGCAACATGTCATGCAACTGCAACATGTTATGCAATTGCAACATGTCATGCAACTGCAACATGTCATGCAAGTGCAACTTGTCATACAACTGCAACATGTTATACAACTGCACCACGACATACAACTGCAACGTGTCATACAACTGCAGCATGACATGCAACCGCAACATGACATACAGCTGCAACATGAGATAAAACTGCAACATGACATACAACTGCAACATGACATGCAACTGCAACACGTAATACAACAGCAATATGACATGCAACTGCAATATGACATGCAACTGCAACATGACATACAACTGCAACATGACATACAAGTGCAACATGACATACAGGTGCAACATGACATGCAACTGCAATATGACATGCAACTGCAACATGGCATACAACTGCAACATGACATACAACTGCAATATAGCATACAACTGCAATATATTATCGAGTTTGAAGAACAAGTATGCCACGATAGAATTTATGTAATCAATATGCTTGTTTTAGACACGTCGCAGTAGTACTTACAATGGTAGTGTAGAACGTGCAGACAAGTCCCACCGTTAGTATACATAGTTCCATTGAAAGTCCGGTTACTGAAATAAACATCAAGCTGTTTACTTCGTCTACACGTCAATTAAGTATAAATACAAAACTACCGATCAAAGGCAGGAAGGCAGGCGTAACTCCGTTTTGAACAGTATCGCAGTTATAACACGGCATGTCAGATTGATGTGGAAGGAAAGCACGAAGCGATGCAGGCATTCGACGCTGTTTACCGCACATGGGAAACTCACGACCCAATGGTGCTGACAAATCAAGAAACATAATCAGGGCGAATCTGATATTCGAACCCATGACCACTGATTTCTAACACACCTAATTGTGGCTCCTATGATGCCCGCGCCACCTGTTCTGGCACGTTGTTAATTATCGAGTCTGTGCCTAACAAAACAGTGATTGATATTATGAGCAACGTCCGACGCCGTCGGCGTACGATGACATGCAACGCAAGTCACCGCCTCTTGCAACCAGCAAGAGAGTGCATGAGGTTATTCTGACCCGTTTCCCCACGAGGACTACAAATATAACATGTGCCTCTTTTACAGAACATGATGAGGAAGGATACAAAATTTCTGAAAGTTGACCAATTGCAGTCATGTTTATAATGACAATGTGGTTTCAAATTTAACCGTGCGATTGTATATACTGGTATAGCGTATATACCTACCTTGACTCAGCGCCAGGGAAGGAGTGTACATTACAACGCCCATATATATAATCTACAAGACAAAATAAACATATTCATGTAAAGGGCTGGTCATGATCGATCAAAAAGTTCTAAGCCTGACTAACTTTCAAATGTGGGCCACAACACAGTGAGCTAGTCAGTATAGTACATTGTGTGTGTAGTTCATTGCAAGTGTATTTGGTCTGTTCAAGCCGTTTGTGTGTTAGTGACAGCCAGTTGAACGTGAGGGGGCCAACTGGACACAAAAATTGACAAGAACGAGCAGTCATCAAATTTTTTACTTTACTCCCAAAGAAATTCATGACCGCATGTCACAAGTGTATGGGGATAAGTGCCCAGGCTATTCCACTATAAATCAAGGAGATAGAAAAACTGTCAGATAGACGCATTACCATTGCTAAACTTGGGGAAGACTCAGTTCCAAGCCATGGATCCACAGATGAATACGAAACCTGCTCATTGGGTGCCACAGATTCAAAATCCTCACCTATAGGACAATGCCATAAACAATAATGAGCTTATATAGGAGGATTTCGTCAAATTCAAAAGCAGATTAGTAACGGGTTATGAAACATGGGTCTACCACTATGATCCCGAGTCAAAACGACAACCTATGGAATGGCACCATTCCACTTCTCCGGCACCAAAGGAATTCAAGTCTTCAAGATCTTCAAGTGAAGAAAGTTATTGCCACTGTATTCTGGTATGCAAAGGGTGTGATCCTTGTTGATTATTTAGAAAGTCCGAAGACGATTACCGTTGCCTCCTATGCTGATTTGCTTCATCGCCTGAGTGATTCTATCAAAGAAAAGCGGCGAGGAATGGTGACTGCTGGAGTTCTACTGCTTCAAAACAATGCCTCTTCTCACACCTCTCAACTTGCAAAGGCTGCTGTGCGACAATGTGGGTTCGATGAGCTTCCCCACCCTTCATACTCGCCAGACCTGGCACCAAATGATTTCCACCTGTTTCCTAAACTGAAAGAACACCTTCGTGGAAAGCGCTATGACGACAACGATGACCTCAAAGCTGCCGTGAATGGATTTTCAGGGTCTATTCAGAAAACTGGAATTGAAAAGCTTCACTATCGATATGAGAATTGAATTGAAAAGCAGGGAGATTATGTTGAAACATAAAATTAAAAACACTTTCACAATCGTTGGTTTTGTTTGTTTGGCTTAGAACCTTTTCATCAGCCCTCATATTCACCCAGCAGCGACAGTTGTCAAGCTTCCGAGATGTGCTAGGCAGGGAATCAGGGTTTATGAGCGATCCTCACATGAAAGCTGGTTCCGATGTGATGAAATGCGTGAGAGATACGTAAACACGCTATTATCCCCTTTTTACAACCTATGCAGCTACCTGAAGTTTCACACACAATTGTTGGTTTTGTTTGTTAGATTAGATTTTTGTGACCAGCCCTCGTATCTGGCATTATATATAATATAATTTATGAAACTTAGGCATACCCTCTACAATATAGGTGAGGTGTGGTGAAATGATTATCTGACTCTTATATAGCGACGGGTACTGGCCCAGACAAAAGCCAGTTTTATTGTGTTAGTCCATTGAAATAACATGCAGCAGTTTAAAACTCATACCCCTCTCAGACCCAATATACTGACTCCGAGAGGACCAGTCCTTCTGTTATGCCTTTGAGCCTAGCAAGGTAACAAAAAATACCATCTTTCCGTATGATGCGCCCAGGGATCTGATATAGAACTTCTAATACTCTAAATAATCTAATAATCTAAATATTCATCTAAAGGACAATTTTTGTTTTTTCTACATCTAAAATAATATTTCTATATTCATTTATTTATAAATTATTGCTTCAGTAACACCAAAAGTTAATGATGAAAATGTCTCAAATGGTTATGACTACTAGAGACTGTTGTTTATTATATTGACACAAACAATGGTGTCATTAATGTTTTTGAGTCAACGGTAAATAGTTCATTGGTTCATTATCATTCAAACTCGGTCCTCTTGCCTGAAATCGGTCACTTACGATACAATTAATTCTTTTCCAATGACAATCAAATAAGTTAAGACAATTGATAAAAAATGTATTAATCAACCTTTGTAATCGTCTTTCATTTTAAAAGTGTTCAGGTATAAATTATTCTCATTAAGTTCAGTTGTTAAAACGAGCATATTATTTAATTGACGGTCTGGCACGCGTTTGAATGTTATCCCCACACTGATAAAAAAATATAACTGTTAGAACGTAAGAAATTAGATTCTTACCATCTCTACCGTGAATGTCAGGGATCCCATTATCCGGATGGCCTTGTTAAATCTCCTCTCAAGATACTAAAAAATAAGATACATATTCAGCATACATGACACCAGTTTTATGAACTTCTTTTAGTCTTGTAACGCATCTTCCCGAGGCAATGGAGTTAACTGACTGCTGGAATGGCTCGATCGTAGTGCTCCCCAGTGACTAATACGAGTTATGTCCCTTCTATGTCCCTTCTATTGACCAATCAGATTCCACCTCTCTTATCACTTGTATTTGCTTCAAACAAAATGGCTGCGCCCAGTCAAGATGATCCCATCGATAATGAAGATCTATTTTGTAATAAAACGGGTTTTACTTATCAAAGTACATCAAATCACGTGAGCACCTTGATTAGACAAGAAAGGATTTGGAAAATATCTGTTGACGCTTCGTTGACGGTACACATGCTTTGCAAATCCTGCAATCGACCGAAATCTGCACGGCAGTTTTCGAGCCGGATGTCGATTTTGTTGAGCAATTTCGATTGGACTATGCAAAGGCTTGTTAGTCCAGCCAAAATATAACTCCATAATTCCAGTCTAGTTCGGCAAGGGTGGATACTGGACTTTTATTGTCAGTTAACTCTCTTGCCTCGGAAAGATGTTGAACGACGTTTCAGAGCTACCACTTGCCCATTCATCACTTTCAGCATAAATTACTGACAGCTGTTTATATATTTCATAATCGTCCCGAGTCTAACACAATGGACCGCACGAAAAATGCATACTAATGAACGTATGTGACTTCATATAAAATCAACAGAGATTTTCCATCCCACACTTTCCAGAGCATAATACAAAGGACCGCCCTTGCACAAGTGATCCCATTACTTTGTACGTAAGTAAACCTTTTTTTAAAAACACGTACAGCACAATAGGGTCATGTTTGACAGGATATGGGTAGTCTTGTTCACTGTCAATTGAAATGTTTACCCAGAATGTGACATTTTGTTTTGTGGATGTCAAGAGTTTCCCTATAATAGCTGTCATTTATAGCGTAAACATTGGTTTTGTAACCATTCAGCAGGTTAGTTTGACCTGTGTATTAAAGGTAGTCATTAAGTGTTCACTCAAAGCGCTGCTTAATTCCCACGCAAGATCCATATTATCGTGCTATTTTAGCGTCACTTGGTTTCAACACACGCCTTAACTGTTATCCAGCACACAGGTGTCCTGTATAGGCTAGGAATTCCATTGTCATGGGTTATTTGAGGTCTTTCACAAGTTGGGCATCGCATGATGTCGTCATGGTAAAATTCCGATTCGTGACCACTTCAGATCCACTTCAGATGTTATTTCAGAATTGCTAAAATATCAATCAACGACAATGCGTTTGTAATGTTTTTCACCTGACTGAAAATAACATCGCCCATGTAAGGTGCAAAAATAAGAACCAAACAAATTTGGAAAATATATCCTTAGCAGTGTTCAAACTTTATGGGGCGTTCACGGTTTAAAGAGACGACGCACCTGATACACATCAGCCTTCCTTTCACTGTGGAAGGGCCAGAGCGCCATAACTTTTTGAACATGTTTTGCACATATTTCGGCATCTACCTTATGCATTGTTCTCATTTTTGGTGTCAGATAATTGACAAATGAATGACAGTTTCACATATACTTTTGCATTTTAAAAATTCCACATATCTAATGAGACACTGTAACATAACACATTGAAATATCTCGCCTAACAGAGTGTGGCTTAGTCCACTACTGTATAGGGGTGTTTGGAGATCCCGTGTATGTCACCCGTGAAGATTCCGGGGTAGAATAGGTCTTCAGCAACCCATGCTTGCCGTAAAAGGCGACTACGCTTGTCGTAAAAGGCGACTAACGGGATCGGGTGGTCAGGCTCGCTGATTTGGTTGATGCATGTCATCGATCCCAATTGCGTGGATCGATGCTCATGATGTCAATCACTGGATTGTCTGGTCCAGACTCGATTATTTTACAGACCGACGTCATATAGCTGGAATATTGCTGAGTGCGGCGTTAAACAACAAACCAACCAACCAACCAACCGTGTATGTCAGCTCACGTCCGCAGGGGTCCCTCCGACAACAAGGGGGTACACATTGCATGCATATCAGGGTCTCACCCATTTGTCAGATACCTTAAAATCATAAATGCTACGGTTGAGTTCTTCCACTATCCAATGCTTGTTACCTAAGTGGTGACATTTTTCCCGATCACACTCCATTGGGCAGACACCGCATGAGTCTATAAGACTTGTCGCTACTAAAACACGCTTTTCTTTGGTGGTTTTGAAAAGAATTTACGTCCCGTGAAGATCCGGGTTTGAATTTGTCTTCAGCAACCCACGCTTGTCGTAAGAGGCGACTAACGGGACGTTTGGTCAGGCTCGCTGACTTTGTTGATCCATGTCATCTTATCTCAATGGCGGAGGTCGATGCTTATGATGTCAATTACCTCATTGTCTGGTTCAGAATCGATTATTTACAGACCGCCGTCATATAGCTGGATTATTGCTGAGTACGGCGTTAAACAACAAACAAACAAATAAATTAAAAAAAGATCCACTTCTGTGTTTCAACACTGTGAATAAGATATATATAATGATAAAAACTCATATTTCTCATGCTGATTCTCCTTTTCATTTTCTATGTTATAAGTTAATAGTTAATTGGCTTGCCTTGGTGTGCCCTGTGGTGTCTAGTCCATAATCAAGCTCTTACAGTTAAAATGAATTCTGAGATTATTTCTAACTTACAAGATGTATTTTGTTATGACATTTGAAGTTGATATCTTATGTTTTTTACATTTTATATAAAATTTATACAATCACGGCTGAATGTTTTTTCACAAACATCCATTAACGTAGGTCACACAAATAGCACCAAATAAACTTCTTAACTCAATTTGTAATGAAAGCATGTGACAATACTGCCAATCTTCTTCGTGGTGTAAAGGTTATATGGAACGTGTACCTAGGGCGTACGTCTATGCGATGTAACAAAGTCAACTTTCTACAAACATGCCATGTATGTGACAAAATCAGATATCTCCGACAATATATGCACGATTTAGTCAAAACATGTACATCGAGAAAACTTAATATCCTCGTAAGAAGCTGAGTTGGGAACCTTCAAATATAAGTTGTTTTCATGATCAAATGGTTCACTAGTTAAATCTATGCGGGCAGAAAATAATACGATGCATAATCTATTGTATCTGAGTAGATCAATTAATTTCAAACTATCCATTAACTTCAAACGCATTAATTTGACCTTCACTGTAGAGATTTAAGTGTATTATGTTCATGAGGACTGGTCCATTACCACATCAGGTAAATCCACAATCTGACAAATGGGGTATCTGACAACTGGGGTATCTGACAACTGGGGTATCTGATAAACACGGTATGACCCATATCGTGGACGCCAGCTACGCAGACATGGCACACCATATATTATACCAAAAGCTTCTAAATTTCTAAGGGGCAATGACAACGCAAATTGTAAACAGATATTATCAAGAATTGAACAGCTGAGATGAAATGGGCTTTGACGTCGCTGTCACTACCAACCACTAAAACACGGGTGCGGTCCAAGAAATTTGAAACCAATCATACGAAATGATACCGAATGGATACTTGCCTCATAAGCGCTTGTGTACCGCAGTTTGTGGAACATCGGTACAAAGAAAATGCTTGCTACGGCCATGGTCGGTATATAACTGAACAGGATACAGACATACATGCCACCGTTCACGTAAACCTCCGTCGGTACCCCAATAATAAAGATGGCGGACAAGAAGCTGGCTGCCAGTGACATCGTCACTGGAAATATCTGCAACTTCCGGTCGCCTGTTAGCAGATGGTCTGGAGACTGGGTGATCTTCTTTCTCGTTTTCACAGACCAGAAAACTCCAATGGAGGCTGAGAAAACGAGAGTAAGGGAGAAGAGGAGATAGTCCACCCAGGAGAACGTCTGCACCTCGGGTTCCATGTTTGCAGATCTGGAAGAAAGGAACAGATATATAATTGAGTCGTTCGGCAGTTAAAACAAATTGTGTTTAGTGTCAAAGTAAGCAATAAACAGTAGGGATACTCGGGATGAATCTATCAACTTAGAGCTTTGAATGTGCGTACGTGCGTGCGTGTGAGTCTGTTGTTAAACATCGCATTCAGCAATAACGGGGGGAGTGGAGGGGGGATGCAGAGGTGGTAAATGGTTTGAATGCACATATAAATGCATTTGAGAGTCTTATGCATGCAACAAAACAAACAGGTCTGCAAGAAAAAGTATTTATTTGGCTATAAACTATTATACAGGGAACACAGATTCAGTTGAGGTACGCAAGCGTGAAGTACAAAGTAGGACGAAGATATTAACTGCTGGTTGATCCCCAAGCTAAACTGTCGAGCAACAGAAAGTGAACACTTATGTTTGATGTGAATTAAGAAACACAACACCAACACGATGTTATACGAGCACATCACGAGCTTACTACGAACATGATTACTACGAGTTTAGTACGATGTCAGCGCGATGTCTCTACGAAATCATACCGATGTTAGCACGATATAGACTAGTTTCGTACGTGTTGAGTACGAGTTAGTTACGAGCTTACTACGAACATGATTACTACGAGTTTAGTACGATGTCAGCGCGATGTCACTACGAAATCATACCGATGTTAGCACGATATAGACTAGTTTCGTACGTGTTGAGTACGAGTTAGTTACGAGCTTACTACGAATATGATTACTACGAGTTTAGTACGATGTCAGCGCGATGTCACTACGAAATCATACCGATGTTAGCACGATATAGACAAGTTTCGTACGTGTTGAGTACGAGTTAGTTACGAGCTTACTACGACATTAACACAATCTCTACCAGTTTATCACGATGTCAACACGACTAAACCGCAACTAGAATAGGACCGCAGTTTGGCGTCTTTATTGGTATTTGCAGTTACTGTATAAACGGCACAGTGCTTATCGCAGCAACATGGCACACCAGCAGCTGACTGTTGATTTCCTGTATGAGGTGGTTGTACCCATCATCTTGGCAGTCGATGTTGCTAAGCGAAGGGAAGAAGGGGACGACGTTGCGGTCAAGTCCAGCGCAAGTTTTGGGTGGACTTGGCTTCTACGTCAGCCACAGCACGGCTTCTGCGACACCCTGCTGCAGGAGCTTGTCCAGAGAGGACAGGACTCCCAGAACTTCCAGGGTTCCAGAACTTCCTGCGGGCGAGCCGTAGTGGTTCCTGGAGTTTCTGGATGGGGTCGGTCCAAAAATAGAGAGAGATGGCCTTCATGGGTGATCTCTCCCTCACCCCCTCAAACGTCCTGGAACTCTAGATCTCTTGTCCCAGGCTACTTGCAGCCTTTATTCGGGGTCGCATACTGATATCAAAACACCGAAAACTTGTTGCAAACTGACATTAAACTCTTGGAACGCACTGAACCCTTCTGAAACTCGTTGTAAACTTATTGCTGCTGAGGGACGTGACCCGTATTCATACTCGTGATGATTTGGCGTCCCCCGGGCGTCCCCATGTGACCATATCGAATCGCATTCGCGATAACCTCGTATTCAAAAAGCGATTATCGCAGAAAGCTCGTGCTACATCGTAGCTAACTCGTACTATGCACGCGTCAAGTTCATATAAACATCGTATCACACTCGTGACAAGGACGCAGTTTGATCTTCCCCATTAAAATTACAACGTGTTGTGCTTGTATATATCCTACTCACATCGTGTCTATATATCGTGAAAACATCGTGTTCAAGTCGGGTCACAAATACGTACTGCACGAGGTTATTTTGAGTATTATCAACCTCATGACATGTATACTAACCTATAAGGTATGTGTTTGGTCTTGTCTGATTATAATACCTAGAATTTGTTGTCGGGTAATTAGCTCGGGACCGCACACCTCAAATCAACAAAGAGTAGCATCTATTATCAATCTCATTAAAATCAGATATTAGTTCTTGCTGCCGCTAAACAAAGATCTGAGGACATGCACGAGCTAACTACGAGTGAGTGAGTGAGTATGGTTTTTACGCCGCTTTCAGCAATATTCGAGCAATATCACGGCAGGGGACACAAGAAATGGGCTTCACACATTGTACTCATGTCGGGAATCAAACCCGGGTTTTCGGCGTGACGCGCGAACGCTTTAACCACTAGGCTACCCGACCGCCCCGCTAACTACGAACAATACCGAACACAACAAGAGTATAACACGAGTCGAACACGAGTATTGGATTTTTTTATCTATCGGTTTACGGACTCATGTTAAAACATTACATCAAGCACAGGAAATAAAAATGAACAAATGAAATAAAAAAGACATTTAGGGTTTGCATTGCGTGACTATGCTGCCGTGCAGCGTTTATGCATGGTTAGGTGAGTGGGTGAGTTTGGTGTTAAGGTGCTATTTCAATGTATCACGGGGTTTAGATCCCCAAGCATATGTGTGTAGTGCGAGACGACAAATAGATCGGGTGGTCTCGCTTGGTTGCTTGTGTGTCATCGTACCCCAACGGCGAGGGATGTTGCTCATAGTATCCATCACTGGATTGTCTGTCCAGACTGGATTATTAACAGACTGACGTCATATAGCTGGGATATTGATGCGTGCGGCGTTAAACAACAAAACTAGATTTAAGCAGCCTGTCTTGCAACACACTACCATTAAAGTAAAGACCGCCTCCGTGGTCTAATGGTAGAGCGTCCGCCCGGAGAGCGGAAGGTCCGGGGTTCGATCCCCGACCGCGTCATACCAAAAGACGTTAAAAGATGGTACTTGTTGTCACCCTGTCTGGCGCTCGGCATTGAGGGGCTAAAACAAGGACTGGTCGGCTCGGAGTCAGTATACTGTGTCTGAGTGGGGTATTCATGTTAAACTGCGGCATGGTATCTCAGTGAGCTAACACTATAAATCGGCATCAGTCCGGACTAGTACAAGCAGCCACACAAACACACAAACGTACATGCACGTCGCTATATGAGTGCAATAATCTTGGACGCGACGTTAAACCCCATTTCACCTCACCTCACCCATTAAAGTAAAGGGGAAAAGAAAGTCCTGAACCTCGTTTGTTAGATGCTGGCTGAACATGAAACAAACAGGTTATTCGATGGTGATGTATTTTATACGGGTAGCACAAAGGATGTGCATCATTTCAATGAGTATCTCACAACAAGCGACTGTTTTCAGCCTTGTTTTTTGTGGTCAAATCCATTGTTTTTCTTTTGCCTGGTAGATAAAAAACAACCACGTTGTCCATCTGATTCAGGTCATGTTCAAATATCTAACATAGCCAATGTAGGATACATAGTATGAGGTAGTGAAGTACACGAAGCATGAAAAAATAACATTTCTTTTTTTAACATCAATACTGAACATTACTGGTTGTTCACTATGATTTATAATGGGTGTGTTGGTATGGGTGTAACCTGTATGTATTCGGGGGAAGGCAATGAAAAACATGTCACATAAAATGAGCAACAACAAAGTATGACACAGTCCTAAGGCCAATCCCTACGCCGACGTTGCCACTACCCACCCCTTCCCACTGTTCATAATATTAATCACCGGACTTTCTGGACAGATACGATTCAAAAGACCGCCGTTATATAGCTGGAATTTTGTAAAGTGCGGCGTTAAATCTACACACACGCTCGTACTAGCACACTTATTTCTTTGCAGTTTGTATTTTGTTTGTTTGTTTGTTGTTTAACGCCGCACTCAGCAATATTTCAGCTATATGAAGGCGGTCTGTAAATAATCGAATCTGGACCAGACAATCCAGTTATTGACATCATGAGCATCGATCCACGCAACTGGGATACGATGACATGAATCAACAAAGTCAGCGAACCTGACCACCCGTTAGTCGCCTCTTACGACAAGCATGGGTTGCTGAAGACCTATTCTACCTTAGATCTTCACGGGTACTTTCACCCACTTTCGGCTTGTACAGTATTCGATAAATTCACAATGCCTTCATTTTCATGTTCTTCCTACCTCGTTCAAAGACACAACTTCAACAAAAGATGAAATCAACTTTACAAATCGACCTACCTTACGACCACATGTTCGCTAGATAGTCATACCATGCCCTCGATGTGTCTCATCCTGTTCATGGACGGACAAGTGGAAACTTTTGGTCAATTCGTCATCAGTTATACAAACTAACACATGGCATGGACACCGCGTCAGTCAGTAATGCAAAATATGTCAGTGATGTAATGCAGTTTGAAAACAACAGCCTGTGCATGCGGTATTCACTGATAAAGAGACAAGCACATCAAAGTTCTTGGCCCTATATACGTGCTTTCGTACACAACCACGGCAAGGCAACGGTAAAATACACGACCCCGTTCAAGAAAGCGACCTTAGCACTAAGTCTACCGTAACTCAAATACATTTGCTACAGTCGCGGTGCTAAGATCGCTTTGTTGAACGGGATCATGGGTTCGCAGGAGTTATGATACGATTGGCCCCGTTCAACAAAAGAGATCTTGAGCTGCGACTACGATAAAATCATTTCTATAATAATAATAATGGTTATAATAATAATAATAATAATAATAATAATAATAATAATAATAATAGTAATAGTAATAATAATAATAATAATAATAATAATAATTAAAAAAAAAATAATAAACGCGGAGTCCATTGTGCGATTCCGGCTATATCATAAGCATGCGTTTATGAATAATAGTGTCAAATAGTGAAAAGGTGAGCGTATGTATCCTGCCCAACCGGTGATACCCGTCACAAACACATGCAAAGGCAGGTCAAATTTGGAAATGTCCTCCCCATGGCATCGAAAGAACTGTGATTAAACGAATTTGAGCAACCGCCTAATGGTGCTCCTTGAAATATTTCCAGGAAGAGCATGTTCGATTGTAACTCTACGTTAAAGAAAGGAAGTGACGATCTTATTAGCGATAAGGTAGCTTTAAGGAACGGGGCAAAAAGATATTGTCATGTTTTGTAACTATCTTCGTACAACTATCGTAAGGAGTTAAGACAGTCGTTGCACTATGATCGCTTTGTACAACCGGACCCAGGGAGACTAAATATTGTTTCGTTCGTATTGAGGGAACATTATCACCTTGATAATACCTATCAATTGTTATCGTATACTTGATACAGCTAACATGATTACCTGTTCTAAGGTCAATGACATCTACTGTCAATCTGGGTCACAAAATCTGATGATACCGCTGGTATTTTAATACCGTTACCCAATGTTGTTAAAAAAAATTAAGATGTGAACTGCCTCCTGAATCAGAGAGCCTCCTCTGAGTGAATGCTTTTAACTGAACGATATTTCCATCATATCAGTGCGTGACTGATGTTGGCGGAAGGTTTGTTTATTTGTTTGTTGTCTAACGCGCACTCAGCAATATTCCAGGTATTTCACGTCGGTATGTAAACAATTGAGTCTGGACCAGACAATCTGAAGGAAAGACCGACATCTGTTCAGACCGCTGAACACACTCCATTGCCTGGCTCGGAGAGCGGAAGGTCCGGGGTTCGATCCCCGACCGCGTCATACCAAAATACGTTAAAAGATGGTACTTGTTGTCACCCTGTCTGGCGCTCGGCATTAAGGGGCTAAAACAAGGACTGGTCGGCTCGGGGTCAGTATACTGTGTCTGAGTGGGGTATTCATGTTAAACTGCGGCATGGTATCTCAGCGAGCTAGCACTATAAATCGGCATCAGTCCGGACTAGTACAAGCAGCCACACAAACACACACGTACATGCACGTCGCTATATAAGTGCAATAATCTTGGACGCGACGTTAAACCCCATTTCACCTCACCTCACCTTGGGTAAAAGATCACGGACAAGGGTGTGGTGCTGATATATTTAGGGTGAATCTTGGATTAGAACCAACGATCATCAATACCTGGCACGCCTAGGGGACCTAACTCTGTACAGTAAAGTCGATCTCTGAGGCGACTGAGCCAACTGTGTCTCTTGCATTTAAAGTGCTCTCGGAAAGTTGCAGCTATGTGTTCTTGGTCCTGTTTGGCAGAAGACTATAAACATGAAATACGGATGAAGTCAAATTCAGTTAGATTCAGTTAAATAACTGTTCACAAATTCAAACGATATATTTAACCTAGCAGGGGGCTTGAACTTCATTCTAGACATTATATGTGTATTATTGGACGATTTTATGGGAGTTCAAATGAATGTGCTGAGCTAATAGCAAGTCGT